GGGCTGGCTTTAAGATTTTTTTTAAATTATTTTAATTTAGTTTAGAGGATGGAACACCTGAGATGGACTAATAGGTCTCATGTTATCCCAAAACATTATGTTATGTTAATATAAAGAAGTACTAAGTTGTTTTTCTCTTTTGCAATGACTTACTCAAATGTTTGGCCATAGTTAAATGTAAACAAATAAGAAAAGTATCCCGTTTGTGATATTAAGTACTACATTTCAAGCAATATTATGGATCACTGATAATTTTGATTTCACAACTCATAGTCATGGGTTTGCAAGTTTGAGAAGCCTAAAACACAGCCAAACTCACTGGAACCAAGTACAACAGTTTTGAGTCCTTACCTCAAGTTTGGGTGTCTTTCAGTTAGAACATTTTATTACAGACTGCTGGATGTCTACAACAAGTATACGGTGAGAAAGAAATTTTTACTCTAATGTTAAAAGAAAAATATTCACAATGTCTCTTCTAACAAAATTCTCTATACACAATTTGGTAGCATGATTTAGCTAGGGTTGATTTATATATATATATATAGCTTTCTTTTTCTTATTATAATCATAACAAATGTTTTTATTTCATTCACAGGTTTTCTCATGAGAATGTTTTCATTTCCAGATAAAAGCAAAATGACAGCTATTATGCAAAATGCCCCCCTTCATTGGTCAGCAATAAGTCTGAGGGTGTAGCATTGTATTTACCAAAAACAAACAGATTACACAAAGTGAACTGCAGATTATAGCAAAAATATCTACTTAGTATATAAAACAATCAGTTTATAAAGCACAGCACCAACAGCCCATTGTGTAGCTTTGTGCTATGTGACAAACTGCTTGATGAGTAGAATTGATAAGCTAAATAGGGTATCCATTTTCCAATAAAGTCTTGTTTATATTTGTTATTTTTACGTTAAATGCAAAAGTACAACTGTCAATTTTATGAGTTCTACTAATTAAGACACATTGAATTTTATGTAAAGAATTTTTTTATAATAATTATGAATACTATAAAATTTCATTTAAAGAATTGAGGAACAAAACTCTGAAAATTAAAGTATAAACCAGTCAACATGGTCTTATGATAGGAATCAATAGTAAAACCTTTACTAGATTGTATAACTTGCATATCCAGGAGAGGAAGGGTACTTTAGTTGTCAGATTCATATGTGAACCTAATGTTTCAATATCATTTGGACAATCGTATTCTCAAGGATTTTCCAAAGTCCTGTTTTATTTAAAGATATTTTATAGATATAAGTTTCAATGAAAGTAACATCTTAAAATAGATGTATATTACAAGTTTTTTAAGAAAAATACTGAAAACTGAACTTGCCAGACAATGTTTAACAACCTTAAATGACAAAATTTCCTAATTTATGCATGTTGAATCTTCAAACACAAAACATGTCATTCTGCTCAGAATATGATGGGGAACTTTAGAGAGTAACTAATGTAATGTAAAATTGTCTAAAAAAGTTACTTATCTAAGAAGTGAGAATTTGATCTACAATCTGCTGTAATGGTTTCAGAAGTTCTGTTGTGCAGTTATTTGTTATAATTAAGCTTTTTTAATTTAGATGCTAAAAAGCTCTTGTAACATCTAGTTTTCAGTATATTTTATGAGTAAGAGAACTATTTGGTAATAAATGAGAGATAAAAATAGTTTAAATTATAGAATTCTTATAATGCTAAGTTATCTTTTGTGCTTTTACTACTTACTGAAATGCTTGTGAATTTTTTGGAATGCATACAATAATTGTATGATAAGCATGTGTATAACTGATCATAGGGAAACTGTACAAAGCCCCCAGTTTCTTTGGAAGGACAGCTGTTGTGGAGAGAGTTCTTTTACACTGTTGGTTATGCAACTCCTAATTTTGATCAAATGAAGGGAAACCCTCTTTGTAAGCAAATCCCTTGGAGCAACAACCCTGAATTTCTGGAAGCCTGGACAAAGGTGAAATGAAGTTTAGATATCCAATATACTTCAAAGAAATCTTATTTTCAAGAGTTATTACAACAATTATAAATATCCAAGTGCTCAGAAAAGATTTGGAAAGTCTAGTAAATCTTTTATTTTTAACCCTTTTGTGGCTGGCTCGTGAAATTTGCAGAAATTGAGTCGTGAGTTTCACTTGTACAACAATTCTGAGATTTCTTAACGTATCCTCTCATGGTATGATTTCAGTAATGATCATAAATATCTTGTACACAAATAATGACAGTTTTTATAATTAAGTGTTTTTACTAAAAGTATGTTATTTTTCTATTGTAGTCACTTGCATTCAAACTATTAACAAATCGAGTGCAAAGTTATTCATTTTAAGTATAAAAATACTTTTCTTCATCTTATAGTTTTCATATTGCATTTGCATAATCTCTAGAACTTTCTAAAGGATATCAAAATATTTTTGAAGGTAAATTTTTATATTTTATTTTTCATTTTCTCTACCACATCACTATCTCTAGCTATTATCATCAACGTACAATGCAACAAAATAATTAAAATTAAGAAATAGAAAAAAAAATACATACCTTTAATTTTTTGTAGAAAACCTTTAAAGAGTTTGTTTTTGTTAAATTTGTAATTTCATCTCTTTCCTTTTCACGTATAGTTAATTGTTAATGTTTTATTTTCCCTTTTGTCTTCTACAACTTATTATTCATCTCTATACAAGTCATTGGTGCCCTAGAGGCATTTTACAGTTTTTTTGGGATACATGCACAACCCTTCGGCAAAATATTTGTTCAGCGTGTAATATCATAAGCCTTCAGAACGGACACAAAGTATGATGCATATTAAAAAATGTTTAAACCTTTTAATTTGAATTTTAAAACATAACTAATATAAAATTAACTAAAATATAATAGTAAGACCTAAAACAATTTAAACTGTATCTCTAACTATAACATATTTAGGTAAGAAACAACCATAAGTGCTATAGTCAATCAAGTAGCCAACAATATAAAATATTATACTACAGTCAGTTACATGTATTCCGTGATGACAACTGGATGTCAATTTGAAAATAACTATTTAGTTTATACTGTAAAATGAGCCCTTTCTAATTGTTATATACACATGTGTAAGTAATGTTTACATGGAAGGGATAAAGCTCCAACAAATCTGTTGAAGGTGGGTGTGGCAGCTGTCAGGGGTTGAAAACAATTGATTACTTGTTTTAACTGTATTCATTCAGATTACTTTGAAAGGAACAAGTCAGATAGTTATGTAAGCATCTTAGTGGCTAGATCTATTCTATTACCATTCTTTATTGAATATACAGAGAGCCACAGTAGAGATTTTTCATAGCTTGTTGGTCACATGACAATACATCTGAAGTTTTAAGTAGTTTTTTAAAGATTAATTTTGTAATAAAGGACTTAAAACTTCAAATCAAAACACACATTATAATATTAAATTCATTCACACACATTGATATTTAATTAAGTTTTGAATGTAACACAGTGACTTCCACAGAAAAGCGTTTAAAGGGGCTCCCAATGTGAAAAGGTTAATAGAAATGTATCATTAGTCTATTCTCATGTGAAGATAGTTTTGTAACATGTTAAATAATAGATTTATGTAACCTCTATCTTTTGTTATGAGTTATTGTAGTTCTTTTAAAACATTTCTATTATATTCATTATTGAATGTTATTCATTAGTAGGTAGGCTGCCCCAATTCTAGAAACGATAGATAGTGACTTATTAAAGTCTGGATTAGATCTTTTTTTTTTGTGAGACATATGTAAAAAAGCAAAAACAAAATCTGCATGTGAAAATCATATAATTTTTGGGTTGTTTTTATTGTACTAAAAATTATATGATAACAGTGGAGATTATTGTATTATTATTGTTAAGGTATTCTTAGAGCTATTTTTGTAACTAAAGTTTGGTTATTTGATTACTGTGAAGAATTATATAGAATACAATTTGTTTTATGTCAGTACTGAAGAAAAGCTGGGTTCTGATCATTAGTTTATACTGTCAGATTGCAATGTTGTTTCTACATTGTTCTTTTAACCTTAATAGTAAGTATGTTCTTCAGACGTTATGACTATAAAGGGCAATGGATTTCCTATTAAAGCTGATGTTTCCAAAACTTTTCACCCAAGGCACACCTGCAACTATTAACAAAATTGTGACACACACACCCCTGAATGCTGTGCTCTAGTAAGGTGAGAATAAAGTCACACCCATGGGTACTTCAATCAGACAGTGGTAAATAAGATGGCTTGTGATTGTATTTTCACTTGTTCATCACCTTGACCTTATTATTATCATTTATTTTAGTGTAGTTTATGTTTTAAAAGGGCAGTAGAAAGGTGGAATATTTTTGCAGGATATATGTATTTGTGTGTGTGTGTGTGTGTGTGTATTATTTTATGATCTCTTGTTATGCACCCTTTGGGAAATACTGACCTAACTTAATTTATGGATATATTTTTATGCTGTTTTGTTTTCTTCTTAGGCTCAAACAGGCTTTCCATTCATTGATGCTATCATGACACAGTTAAGACAAGAGGGATGGATTCATCACCTTGCTAGGCATGCTGTTGCTTGCTTCTTGACTCGTGGAGATCTCTGGGTCTCTTGGGAACATGGGATGAAGGTATAATAAAATAAATATCTTTAAGTACGTGTTACCAGTGGCAGTTATACTCTGTTAAATATTATTTCAGAAGCTGTTTTTATCTTGTTATAAAACTTATGTAGTGTGGTATTTGTGATATACCCAACTACCTGTAGATATTTTTGTTGCATGCTTTGGTTTTGAGTACGTGCTAGATGAGACACATTACTTTACATTTCTATACAATATGCTTGATAATGATTTCCCCCACAAAAAATGCATTAAGAGCACAATATCTTCATTGTTGAGTATTGTATTTTGATTTTGTTTCCTATCACAAATAACAGTGAATATTTTTCTGTTTATATCAAAATGGGAAACATTACTTGAGTGTGTGTTGTTTATTACTGTATTTTCAATACTTAAGATAATTGCTGTATTTTCAATACTTAAGATAATTGCTGTATTTTCAATACTTAAGATAATTGCTGTATTTTCAATACTTAAGATAATTGCTGTATTTGATTTTATGTCCTTCACTATTTCTTCTTACAGACTGAATAATAATTAACTTTGGTTTTGTACCTGCTACTGAGTTTGTCCGAGATATGATTATGAGGTCTGTATTTTAAAGTATTTAAACCTATACAACCTACACCTTTTCCAGTAGGTAGAGGAGTAAAAATATATATATACAGAACACGTTTATAAAAACTAATAAATCAATAAACGGACATAGGTGACATGGAAAGGTGACCTTGAAAAATAATAAACCAATAAATGGGCATTGGCGATATGGCAAGGTGACCTTGAAACACAGTAAATTGTATTTCATCTTAAGAATACAGTAATGTTAGTACAAGTCAAGTTGAATATGCCCTCTAATAAGGTGTATCATGTGATATGAATGATATTTTTTGCTCAAGTTTTAATATTGGGTAGCTGTAACAGTTCTATTAAATAACTGATGAGTGAATGAATGAGCTCTGATATCAAACTCATGTTTTTAACTACTGTTCCTGATGATTTCACATGATAAGTAGATGCAGTTTCAAAATCACTTGGCCATTTCGTTTTTATTCCTTTTTACTGGCTAACAAAGCTGTAGATGTTATGCTTATCCAACCATATCCTTGTTTATACACAAACTTATTTTGTGACAGCTCTGTATATTCCAAAACATAATGCTTATTTATTAATGGAATATTTGAAGGCTTAGAATATTTTGATAGTCAACATTAAACAGTTTCTTATTTTATGCTAGGGCTGAGTACTTGGGAAGAGCTTTTGAATTAAATTTAGGATTTCAATTAAATAAAGGCTGGTAAACCAGTTTCTTATGACAGAACTGTGTTGGTAACAGTAACAATAATTTGTAATTAATTTTGTGTTGAAAGATATAAAACCTGTTAAGTTGGTTTGATTCACTAGGTGTTTGAAGAGTTTCTCCTTGATGCTGACTGGAGTCTCAATGCAGGGAACTGGATGTGGCTATCAGCTAGTGCCTTTTTCCATCAGTATTTTAGAGTCTACAGTCCTGTTGCATTTGGAAAAAGTATGGACAAAAATGGAGATTATATCAGGTAACTTATTATTTCATTGGTTTGAGAATAACTGCAATGACTTATATTTTATAACATTGCTTGGCTCTAATAATTTTTATTATTAAAACACTTGATATAATTATCTTGTATCTTAGGTGTGTGTGTCTTTTATCACAAGATTTAATTTTTAACTGTTAGTTAACATTCCATAAATTCATTATATCTGGTTGTAATTCATCTATTGTAGTAAGTAGGCTTAGTAGAATAGTCTTGGACAACTCCTGCTTGTTTCTAGAGTGGATCAACATCTCCACTTCAATACTGAGGCCTTTTTCAAATCAAAGCAATCTTCAAACAACAATTAGGCTTAATGTCACCACTTTTGCAGCTTGATAACAAGCTTTTATTTTGGAGACATTTGTTATAATCTACATATAAGTAGTTGTGCTAGTATAAATAGATACAGTGTAACAAGAGTTTGATAATATCACTCAAGTTCCACATCATGTAGCAAAACATAAAAACAGCAACATCTGGTTTGAGTATACAAAAGTGTAACCTGCTTTTTCTGATTAGAATTGATACAGTAAAATAAGCAGTTTAGCTTTTTCCATTTTCAGCAAAAAGGTCTATACACACACATGTATTCTGCATGGAAATGCATGCTATGAAAATCTATTGTCTTATTTTACATGTGATTGATGAATTTATGTTAGTTTTTGATAATTCGGAACAAGGGGATTTCAAACTGCTGAGACATACAGATCATAGTTATGCAGTCCCTTTCTTTTATTAATATTTATTTGTATCTTAAACAATATCTGATAACTCCAATGTTTGGAAATAACTAATTTTTGAGAGACAATTGTCCATAGAAAGTAAAATTATGCTTCAGTTCAAAAGAATGGAGTTCTACAGTTTTGTGTAAAATTAATTCTGAAATGTATTAGTTTTGAAGAAATGTAACATTTCATATCCTAATATGAAACTTATATAAGGGTTAAGTAATGCTGTAAACTCTGGATTAGTTTAAAGATGGAAAATTTTTGTAAAAAAAATAAGCATTATAAAATGTATCTAGCAGTCTTTGCTGTTATAAATATAGGGTGAGAGAGTTTTTATATTAAGCACAAAAATCCATTTTTGCAGTTTTAGGCCAGAACAGAATCAGTACAGAAAAATCTTGCATAAAAAATGAATTTGGACGTGGCTCATCTGGTGCTTTTTTTTGTTTAATTTCATATTCAAGTTGGCCCTGTATTGGCCAGGTTGGTTACGACGCTTGTCTTGCAATTTGAGGGTTGCAGGTTCGAATCCCTGTCCCACAAATGTGCTCGCCCTTTCAGCCTGAGGGCATTATAATGTGACTGTCAATCCCACTATTCATTGGCAAAAGAGTAGCCCAAGAGTTGATGATGGGTGGTGATGATTAGTGCCTTCTCTCTCATCTTTCACTGCTAAATTAGGATGGCTAGTGCAGATAGCCCTCATGTAGCTTTGTGCAAAATTCAAAAACAAACAAATAGATATTCGAGTTATCTTTATAATATACTCGTGCATCTTTGCAGTGATTTATTCCACATGTCTACTACTGCTGCACGATGATTGTGCGTGTGTTGGCAGAGTTGGAGGGAAAGATTTGTTTTATAATGCTCAGAAATTTTTGGTACTGGAAAAAATTTTCTGCTCCCACCCATAAAAATAAGGTATGATATAAGAATATAAAAAAACAAAGATGAAAAGTATAAAATAATTAAAGAAATCATATTAAGAAACATTAAATAATAATAGAAACGTCATTTTTTTCATAACATGTAGTGAAAATAGAAATATTTGGGCTTTATTTGAAAGAGAGAAAAATTATTTATATTTTCCCCAAACAGCTTGCTTTATTTCCACATTTCAGTGTTACTCCCGTGTCAAAGATATATATATACCACTGTCATGAATAAGATGTTAAAACAAAAATACTGTATGAACAGTTATTGGTTGGAGTTTATTATAGGCTTAACTAACACTGTATTCACAAGCCCTGGTGAAGGAAACATGGTTTTTGTTTTCTACTTGTAATGTACAATAGCAAAATGTTCCTGAAACTGAATTAGGATACATAAATGTTTATGTATAACATAATATTTTATCTATAAAGTAGATAATAATATTTTCAGTTAAAGGATATGTTATAGATTTTTGCAGTTAGGAGCTTCTTTAATACTTTTCTTTGTAGCTTTATACATAATTAAGATGTTTTGTTTGATATGACTTTCACAAAATAGAGCATTTAAACATATTAGCTGCAAGATGACACAATGCTAGATGTGTAGAAACTTCAGCTAATAATCCTTTTAATGATTTCGGTATTTCCAAAATTTGGGTTTTCTTACTCTTTCAGAAAATATCTTCCTGTACTGAAGAAAATGCCCTCAGAGTACATTTATGAACCATGGAAAGCACCACTGAAGGTAGAGACATTAAAGTACCCAATATATCATGATGTGATTTAAAGAAATAGTTTTAATATTTCACTTTTACCAGACATTTACAGGTTGTTGTTTTTTTAACTTATTTGGAATAAAGCAAGAGATGACACCAATGAGTTGAGAAACAACAAATCTCTAAACTTTCGTTTTAGGTTCAACAACAGATAGGTTGTGTGATTGGGAAAGACTACCCAAAACCTATTGTTGATCATGACGAAGCCAGGAAGAGTAATTTGGAAAAAATGAACAAAGCGTACAAAGAAAACAAAACATCAAATGAACAGAAGAGTAAGTTAAACTGTTTGATTGAAGTTATTTAATTTGCTTTATTTTAGTCTCACTTCAAAGACACCATTTTCTTTCATTTAAAAACACTTTACACCATGTTTTTTAGGTCACACGATATGTTAACTCAAACTTTATATCTTGTCTTCTTTGATGATGCATATATGAAAGTCTCTTTATTGCTAGGTTACTACAAAAAGACATAACTCTTTTATGTATTCACATGTTATTTTGATTTAAGCAAAAGGTTAAGTTTCATTTGTATAAATGGTAAAATTGTAATCAGATATACTTGAGCAGGATCCTCAAAAGTGTTCTTTCAAAAATAAGTAAAACCAAAAGGGTAACAAATATTTTTATTTCTTGCTTTTGAATTTCATATGTCATGTTGTGTTGTAGCCTACAAAGTGCATGATTCATGGCATGAGCACATTTTACTGACATCAAGACAGTATTTGTGATAGTTTATTAGATATGAAGAACATGTATAATTTGCTTCACTACTAAATCATAGCTTGTACTGTATAAGACTGAAGAACTCATCACCATACACCCATCATGCTCCAGTTACCTAATGTATATATTATCTTTTCATATGACAATATAGAAAAGAAATTCTGATGCTTTTTAATTATTTTTTAATTTCTGAGATATAGACATAACAAAAGTTATTGTGTATTTAGTCTGCTAGTCAGGAAAAGAAAATAGAGCTCATCATTTTATGTCTAAATCTTTAATGTAATGTTTACGAAATTTCCATCAAATAGCTTAATTTACACTTTATACATAGAGGAAGTAATAATTAACAGTATGAATTTAACAATTTTGTGTTCCACTTTGGAGATAAGGCTTAATGAAATCATAAGCTGTGTTTAAGGCTTTGTGTGGATAGCTGTTTCATGTGAAGTTTATATGCTTTCAGCAGTTTCACGGTTTTTATTTTCATTATTGATATGACTATTTTCTGATGTGATTTATTTGACTTGATAATGTCTCTTTTAGAAAAATCGACTTTAAATGATGACTAACACAATTAGATGATTATATATATTACAAATAAGATGTTAGATACAACAGATCAGACTCAATAAAGTTCTGTCTGTTTTCAAGATACCAGTTATAGCATACAATACAACATTTCTTCAAAATTTTAACTTTCTACATAAAGTTGAGGTCTGATCTAGGTAGTTAGCTTGCTTTGATAAGAAGCAAATGAGAATCTTAGAATGTATTATAAGCTAATATATGAAGGTACATTATTCAATTTACAGTTTTACACTAGCAAGGAGAGTATAACACTGTAATTAGCCTTTCTGTATCAATGTTTTCAGTATTACATGACAAGTTGTCTGCTCAGCTGTTAACCCAAGATCTTATCACTTTCTATAAGTACTAATAACCAGTAGGATATTAAAAAAATGTTTCAGAATAGCTTAATTTAGTTTACTATGATAACCAGACGTCAGCCTTATTAGTTAATATTGATCGCTCAGTTCTGGTCGTCTCTCAAAAAACAAGTACTTTTGATAGTGTCCTTTTTCTTCTGACTCTTTCTGTTCAGAAATCAGATGCTTGCTCTCAGTCCCTGATTTATTTTGTTTGCTTGTAAATGTTTTTCTCAGCATATCATTTGGAGTTCTGTTTCCAAAAAAATTTTCATGCGTCATAATTAGTTTCCAGTATCATCAAAATATGGATATATCATCGCAAATATGACATATAAATCTGGAAAAAAAACGTACATACAGAATGATAATTTCAGAACATACAGCGAATTTTCCAAAAATATTTTCAATATTTTTACAACTTTGTGTGAAATAAGGTTTTAAATATTAGTGATGCAAGATGTTTCCATTAGTGTAGCAGACTTTATGTAATTCATTTTTGTAATGCTTTTTATTTTCTACTATTTTAGTATTTATTTATTTATATTTTTGATTTCAATTACTAGCTACCAACAAGAGGTCATCAGAAGAGACAGTGAGCAGTTTGTTGTCTCCAAAGAAAACTAAATCCTAGAACAAAAAAGATTTGAAGGGAATCAAGTATCAAGATTTGTGTAATAGAATTTCAGAGAGATACTTTCTATTTTCATATTAAAGTTTGTCATTAGAAACAATAAATATGAATTTTTTGATTGTATATTATTTCTAATCTTTAAAAGTAAACATTAAAGACATTCACTTAATGACAAGTGCTGAATTGAATGATAGATTGGACGTCATATTTATTTTTAGCACTTTCAATATTTTACATTTGATCTAATGGTTAATGGTTTTAATATGCAGAATAATTAGAAAAATAAATTGGCAGTAGCAATGCTGCATATTTTCCAAATCCTTTATAAATATACGTTCAGTGTGGTGAGTAAAAGTCATCTCAAAACACCATACATATACTCACTAAAAGAAGCCTGTTATTGTTCTTTTCATTTATCCTTGTCCAGGGTTAGTAACGAGGGGTGGAATTCCCTGAAACCTGTCTTTGGCTTCATATTTATTTTTAATCTATCAATACTTGACATGTTGTTTAATGGTTAATGTTTTTTATACACTCACATAAATTACACATGGAAAGCTTTGAGGGTTTTTATGGGAAAAAAAAATAATGGACCATATTAAAGTATTGTCTCTAGTTTAACAACATAATTAAGAAACTAAACATATTGAAATCTTCTAAACTACAAACGTCATTGTACTGACAAATTTTTAAAATATTGCAAATGTTTAACGTAAGTTGTTTTAAGCTGATTTAGCATAAATGAGAGACATATATTGTAATCATTTTAATCTAACTTAATTTCATAATTCAAGTAGCATTTTTAAAATTTGAATCATTTTAACATTGTACTGATACATGTGAAAGAGAATAATGTAAAACAAAATGTGTTCTTTTATGTGTCTTATGATAGTAAAAGATAAGTAGTCTTAAAAAAATTGTGAGGCAGAAGATGTAACTGTGCTAAATTGTATATGCAAATATAAATATGTGGTCCTGTCACCTCTTATACCTAAGAAAATTATAAATTGATTTGTCAATTTATAAATGTCTATACTTAATTCTCAAGTTGGCTGAGAGTTATATTTGTTGATTCATAAATTGTCGTGTTGATTTATAAATCGACTTGTATATGTAAAAAATAAACAAATAGTTTAATAAAATTAAGCGTACACTTCACGACTTGTAGATTTATTAAAATGAAGGAGTAATGATAAATTAGCGTGCAGATTTGATAAATCAACAAAAATATTTCTCGTCCAACTTGTGAAGTTATAAATAGTTGTGTTATTTATAAACTCACAAGTTGTAGATTTAATAAAATGAAGGAGAAATTATAAATTAGCGTGCAGATATGATAAATCAACAAAAATATTTCTCGGCCAATTTGTCAAGTTATAAATAGTTGTGTTATTTATAAACTCACAAGTCGATTTAATTTTTTGATGGGTAGCAGAGGTGAAAGGACCATGATTTATGTAATATTTAAATTGAACGTACAACTTGGCTTAAATTGCAAAGTATTTTTAAATTAGGTAATGCTGACTGAAGTATAGAGCACATAACTATGAATAGATGAAACAACTGCAAATCCCAGAATATCTTAAAAGAGCTTCTATTGGCTCAAGGATTAGACTTAGGATCTTAACTTGAGTGATAAATAGGTCTATAGATTATACTGTATATATGGCAAAAACTACTAATTTTGAATAACTTAGCAGAGTGATAGCAACCAGTCAGCTGCACACTACCATCCATACTAAGGGATTGACTGTCACTCTTATAATGCACCCATAGCTTAAATTGAGAGAAAGATTTTGTGGTATTGTGCAGTTTGAACCTAGCTTGACAGCTCAGAAATCAAACAGCTTTTTCAGAAACTACCACAGGACCAACCCATGCCCTTGAACCTGGCTTGACAGCTCAGAAATCAAACAGCTTTTTCAGAAACTACTACATGGCCAACCCATGCCTCCTAAAGCTTTATAACATTTGGTTTTGATAATAAATTATACAGTTTGAATAATAAACATAAAATTTCTGGTTGATGAAAGTTTAACTTAACTTAGAAAAAAAGAGTATTGTATATTGTAAACTTGTTACAAGTCACAGAGACAAAAGGATCTTAAATGGGCTAGATGCTTGCTACTCTTTTAGTGTATAAATTTCATTTAAACCAGAGAAGGTTTTATATCCAGGCATGACTGTTTTATTATGTCAGGTTTCTAATCTCTAATTATTCAGATTATTTAGGTCAGTTAGTGTAGTTTAGTTGGCCTTCACAGATTCCAAAACGTTTTTCATATCATGCATGTGTTCAAAATACAATAGGTTGGTGTTTTTTCTGAGTGCAAAGGTACACAATGGGGTGACCTGTACTCTGTCTATCGTGGGGAATCGAACCCCAGATTGTACAGTTGTGAATCCATAAGCTTAGGACTGACCCACCAAGGGACACTATAATAATACCTTGTGTTTTGTATGATCATAATGTCGCACTATAGAAGTAGGAAATCGTCATAACCCTCATATCGTGTTTAAACTTTTTTATTACAAGTGAAATATGTACATTTTGTTCTAAAATGATAACAACCAAGCAATAGAAACACACACCAAGTCTCATGACAGACTGGTTCAAAACTATCGTGAATAAAAAATCCCACTTAGTGCGTTGGAAAAGGGGGTGAGGGCACTTTTCATTCTATCCCAGTAAAAATGTATCAAAATTAAGATAAATATTTTGTAGAAAAAGCAAGAGAATGTATAAAATGTAATCCAGACTCTAAGAATTTCCAGTGTCCTAAGGCGAGTCCTGAACCCCGGCCGGCTTTAATGGGTTTTTCTGTGGCGCACATTCCCTCGCTTCGGTCGGTCATTAAACCCTGCCCCCCCCCCCACTCCACTTTTAATTTGTCTCCTACAGTTAAAGCCTGCAATCTTTTTTATTAATTAAGTAGGTAACAATATCTCCCGTTACCACAGTGTCAGTATTGAAATATGTACATTTGTAACAATATCTCCCGTTACCACAGTGTCAGTATTGAAATATGTACATTTGTAACAATATCTCCCGTTACCACAGTGTCAGTATTGAAATATGTACATTTGTAACAATATCTCCCGTTATCACAGTGTCAGTATTGAAATATGTACAATTGTAACGACACTATATTCTAGAAATTAAACTTATTAAAACAGTACTAGAACAGATGCGGTTGTTTCGATTACCCATAGTTTTATTAAACCACTTGGTTATGATGTTGGGAGATTACGCAGGTTAAAAAAATCAGTTAAAGACAAATGTAAGAAACCCTGTAACCCGAGCGCTTTCGAAATGTGGACCTCTCTTCCTCATGGACAAATAACCATGGTTTACTCTCCAATCGAATTTCAAGCTTTCTACAAATATACCTAAAACGTTTTGGGTTATATCCTTCTTATAAGTAGATATGTTCATGCATATTCATTATCGAAATCTGTTCTATAATACTTGAAGGTGAAGTCGCAAAAATGTGACGAAACACTGGTACTCACATTTTATACAACTTTTTCCTCCCTCTGTTTCTTTTCTCAGAATGATTAATTGAATGCTGAAACTTATTCAATAACAAATTAGTAATCATATAAATATACAAGAGTATATAATAGTATTTCAAGGTTTGTTTCTATTTTTTACGCTGTTCATAATCTTTGTTTTGGATGATGACCTATGAGCTTTTATTATCAAATTTAATCATACCTGGTTGCTTATTAGACTAGATAATAACTGAACTTTGGACAACATGAAGACATTTTTCAAACCCACCTACTAACCTTCAATGTAGTAACAGGTTGAAGAGCAAGTATACTTGAGTAACAGTTGAAATTGTTAAGTTCGAATAGTTAAATGTCAACGGTATGTTATTACGACTTACTATGATCTACGCAATGGAAGTTACTCAGTGTTTTATATGGTGGAAGGAAGATATCGGTCAGATCGGGAGATAAGAATCAGCTTGTTTCACCGTGTTCTTTTCGTTACGATCTTAAAATGGCAGACAAATATGGGACTTACTCACTTCAGAACAAAGATGGCGACGAGGAGGACGTTGAGAAGGACGAAGATTGCACTGGTTGTCATGAAAGTGAGATGGAACATCATTATGGTCCATCTCAAATATGTTGTATACCGCTCCCTCGACTCTTGTGGTTGTTCGTCAACTTTGTTGCTCCAACAATTATTTTCTTATTAAGTTATGTTTCGGATATCGTCAGTGACGCAGCCGTTTCTGCTCGTCATTACGCAGACGGGAACATTTGGTGGTTCGCTCTGACTTTATCACTAATATTTACCCCTGCCATTATGTTTGCTCTTTTTGGAATACTAAAAGTGGCTAGAGACCAAAAGATAATATTTCCAAAAAAATTACTTTGGATTCTGTTCTACGCTGTTTCGGCCGTATGGCTCATCATTTGGCCGCTGTTCAGGTTAGTAATGTTCTCGAGCGTGTCCAAATTTTCATTAACTAACTTCTGACCCTTTAGGTGGTAAGATGAAAACTACCATGTGTATGTAAGGCGTTTTTACTTTTCCACCGTCATTTGGTTTTTCAATATCACTTGAACCTTTCATTGCGTTAAAAAAAGGATATTTAACGCTTTTTGTAATTTTTGTATGTATTGCAAAGCTACTAAGGTAATCAGTCGCCGTCCCAAACTGTTAACTACTGAACAGAGGGAAGGCAGCCAGCCAGTCAGTAGCACCCTACCACCTACCATCCATATTATAACATATTTCCGGATTTTTAAACTCAAAGGTAATGGCAGAGCAATCTACGGGTTGCGGGATCGAAACTTCTTGCTGAATACTCACCCTTTCAGCTGTGGGGTGTTGTAACGTGATGGCCAATTCCATTATTCGTTTGAAAAGAATAGCCCACGAGTTAGCAGTAGGTGGTGTTGACTAGCTGCCTTCCCTCTAGTCTAGCACTTCAAAATTAGAGATGACCAAAAATAAACAAACCTGTGGCGATAATTTCAAATTTAAAAACTAGTAGGTTTTTGTTTATATTTTCTTTTTTTAAATTGGCTCGAATTTATTTTGGCATTTAATTAAGCATCATAAAAGTATTATTTATTTATTTTTTTATACTGGAATAATATTTTACGTGGTGGTGGTTCACTTTTATTATAATGTGATTATATAAATTGTTCAGTGTGTTTGCATCTGACGGCTAGAGAATTATTGAAAATATCGTTCAGAAGGACAGGTGAACACACAGAAGATTTTGTTTTATGATGTATACCAAAATATATCCATTAGCTCGTTCTCATTTTTATAAATATATATAAAAAAAGCGAACAGTCACGTAAAAAATCCGGAGCATTGAAACAAATCAAACATGTCATTTGAATCGTCTAGAACGGCTAACGGAATGGTTTAACAATTCAATTACAAGTGTGGTTTGAATGCTCAATGATTACATTATTCATTACGCGCCCCGTCTCCCGGTAGCTCAGCGATAAGGCTGAGGCTTATAACGCTAAAAATCGGGTTTAGATGCATACGGTGGACAGAGAAAATATAGCTCATTGTGTAGCTTTGCGCTAGCCTCCAGTGACACAGCGGTATGTCTGCAGACCTACAACGCTAGAATCCGGGTTTCGATACCCGTGGTGGGCAGAGCGCAGATAGCCCATTAACTTTAAACAAACAAAAAAGCTTTGCGCTAAACAACAAATATTATTCATTGCATTCTGGGATGTTTGTTAGCAAAGATGATAATAATTATTCACTTTTTTAGGTATTTAAAAATGCTGTATTATGGTTTCAAGATTCTCACAAACAAAACTCGACAAATGGATTACATCAAATACTTGAAAGAGGTGGAAAATGAAGACGCTAAGTTTCAGAAAGTGTTCAAGGCGTTCCTTGAATCAGCTCCCCAGTTGTTGCTTCAGCTGTACATCCTGTTGTCAAACCCGCCCGAAGAACAAAATGCTTATACAGGTATTAGCTTAAATAACTTGCACAATTACGTTGATTAAGTATTTATATTACTTTTTACAGTTTTCAATTGTTGTTTTTTTCATCCGACCCTCACTTTGTCGTCAAATACCAATATTTCTATGTATGTATTGAAATGGGGGGTGAGACGAGATTGATATTGTTTAGCGAATTTTCTTTTTTTTTTTTTCTAGACGAAATTAAAAAAAAAGAGTTTAATATTCTCTTGACAGTTTGTATAAGTTATTTGGAATATTAAATACACGGAACAAAACTTCATAATTCAACCGAGCACCAACGAAGTAACGTACACCACACACACAGTTTCGAATAGCTCATTTTGCGTATTTAATCGAAACGTTAGTTCGCCTAAAATAAGAAGCAAACTTCGTGAAAGTGTTGGGAGTTTAAAACTAAACCCTGTTTGTTTAATTTTAAAAGCATTTGACACTTATACACCATATTGATTCTATTGGGGAAAATTATATCATTATTTCACCGACTAGCTTCAGTATTATGTTGCTAACAAACATCGTTTATTTGGCGCTATTTCCAATAAGTCAACCCTCATCAGGTTCTTTATCATGATATAAAAAACCTGTTTAGTTTAGATATTATATTATTTTGAAAACAAATGAAGTGCGTGCTGTTCATTTATCGCTAAAAGTCGCAGACACCTACCGTTGAAGAATCCTAAGCCCAGCAACAACATAGTATATATTTATACTATTAAGAAATATAAGTAAAAGCCTTTTATTTTGACAATTGGCGAAAGACTTAAATTTTCTACTTTGACATTCATATTTCTTTGAAAATGCCCGAATTTTAACAATATTAGATACACCTCGTTCGGCATGGCCAGGTGGTTAAGGTGTTCGACTCGCAATCTGAGGGTCGCGGGTTCGAATCCCCGACCACCAAACATGCTCGCCTTCACGCCGTGGGGTACG